CCGGGGACTCCCTTATTTTAGTAGTCAACAAATGGATTCACAAAGAGTCACCTTTTATCAAGTGACCAATATTTCAACTTTTTAGTCATAGCAACTGACAACAGTTGAGTGTTCCAAAGCTGTTTATGACACTGGGTTGGTGTGAGGCTGTTTTGACTGTATCATTCTTTCATCCATTGACCTGTGACTGAGATGGCTAGTTGTCCCCAAATGTATTAGTCATACTGCAGTAACAAATCAACTCCACTATCTCAACGATTCAACACATACATTGCATGCAAATTGCCAGAGGCTCTATTCCACTGTTTCCAGGAATTCAGGTTGATGAAGGCTCCAGTATCTTGTAGCTGTACCATCTGGAACCTGTGGCTTTTTTGGCTGCTGAGGCAGGAAGGAGGGGATGGACAATTGCCATGGTCTTTTCTCCCTGCGCCACTTGCCATTATAGCTGACTGGCTAGAACTAGCCACGTGGTTTCACTAAGGTGCCCACCAGGGGAGAATCAGATACTGGTAAACACTAGGAATGTCTACCCCATGCTGTATTTTTCCTTTCTTCAGTAGTAATAGAACTCCTGAATGTTATCTGGGCACATGCCTTCCCTTCTCCCCCCACCCACAAAATTACATTTCCAAGTCTAAGTGGGTAAGATGTGGCCAATGGATGTCCAGTGAAGTGTACAATTTGCAGAAGGAGAGGAAGTATACCCTTCTTCTCTTTCTTCATCCTTCTGGCTGGCTAGAATGTAGGCACAATGGCTGGGCTCTAGAAGCCCTCTTGGATTTTTTTTTTTTTTTGGTTGGTGCTGTTGAGAATATACAAAGCAAAACATACACCAATTCAACAGTTTCTACAGGTACCATTTAGTAACATTGATTACATTCTTTTGAGTTGTGAGCCCTCTTGGATTTTGAAGTGACGTTGGGAATGGAAGCCAAGCATGAGGGAAGAACTACCTGGAAGGAGTCTGGGTCCCTGATCCTTGGAGAGCCATACCAACCCTGAACTATCTGCAGATTTCCTAAATGTGAGAGAGAAATAAACTTCAATCTTGTTCAAGTCACTGTTATTTTTTTTTTTTATTACTTGCAGCTGTACTCCTTAGTAATATGGGGCCCCAGTGAAAAGTCTGTTATGGATTCTTCTCCCAATAAATAATATTTCTTCCCCTTCCACGTTCAGAATCAACTAAGAGACTAGGGTAAGAAAACTGTCCCCAGTTGAAAATCGCTGGCATAACTGAACAACTGCAGGCCTCCGCCTTGGAAGACCCCCCACCTGGATGAGGGCAGACAAAAATGTACATTTTCACGGGCAGGAAAATCCCAAAGAGAAGAAACCCAACAGGGACTGAGCCTTTAATACCCAAGTTCCTTTCCTCAAACTCATCAGTGAGATAGATGGCATGGTTTTCTTGTGGAGAGATGATTAAGGGGATGGCAGAGGGCAAGAGTGTTACTCTAACCAAAATTCCTCAACATGGAAACCAAAAGCCAGCGTAGTTATACCAAAAGGGAGTGTACACCCACAGGTGTACACAGGTGGATTTTTCCTACAGCCTAAATGTTCACAAACATTACTGAGGAATAATAGGAATGATTGGTTGGGTAGAATTATTTTCATCGAAATAAAAAGTCTCAGTGAGCGAGAAGGATAAAACTGTTGGAGTCAAGATTACTTTTCTTTTTAAGTAACTGGCCACTGTTTTAAGTCCATTTATTTGTCCCTAGTCATCTTGTTATTGTTGGTGTTTGGAGAAAGAAGGGAGCACTGCGTGTTTGTGTGTGTGTGTGTATGTGTAGATCTCTTGGGGTCAAGACCTCCAAACACTTCAGCTCTCTTAAGAAGATGAAGGATACCCCATAGTTCCCAGCCGTTGGGTAGAATAAGCTAGGGTAGCGGTTCTCAAACTCTTCGGGCTCAGGACTTCTTTACACTCTAAAAATTACCACGGACCCCAAAGACCTTTTGTCTAGCTTATGGGCTGTAGCAATTGATATTTACAGAACTGGAAATTACAACAGAAAATTTTAAAATCATTTATTGATTCATCAATAATAAGCATGTATCAACATAAATATTTTTATGAAAAATACTGTATTTTCAAAAACAAACCATTTCATGAGGAATGGCATTATTTTACATTTTTGCAAATCTCTTTAATGTCTGGCCTCATAGAAGACAGATTCTTATATCTGCTTCTGCATTCATTCTGTTGATATGTTGTTTTGGTTGAAGTATATGAAGAAAAATCTGACCTCAAACAATTTAGTTGGAAAGGGAAGGTAGTTTTAATAGCCTTTTTGAGAATATTCTTGATACTACACCAAAAGTTTAAAAGTCGTTTCTTAAGATGATTGCAACCCCCTCACCACTGGGCATCTTGCAGCCAGCCTCCACACGGACACTGGTCTGGGGGTGTGAACACACCGAGTTGGGCCTCTTCTCTGGCTGCAGGCTGCCCCTCCTACTCCCATCTCCCAGCCCACATCATCACTCTCTTCCTCTCTTCTCTGTCCACCACTCCTTCATGTCCTTTCCTCTTTCTTCTCTCCGTCTTTCACCCTGGCTTTCTTCCCCTTCTTTTCATTTTCCACTCCTTTCTCCCCCTTCTCTGAGGGGATTTCCTCTTTCTCCTCTCAGCCCCCCACCTACTGTCCTCTTAACAGCCAGCCAGTCTAAAAGCCCTAAACGTCATCCACCCCCACCTGACTAGAGTGACAGTGGGGCCCAAGGCCGAGCAGGCTGCCAGGTCTGTCTTTAATGGTCAAAACAGCTATAGGAGCCCAAGAGAAAACCAGCAGGCACTGCCTTAAGCCTCAGCAACAGCTGGCACAGTGGGGCCCAGCCACTAAGGGCTGGATAAACCAATGGTTCATAGTGCCAACTCGGAAACACTGTAGTAGAATGAACTGCTTTCATTGACTCGGGTGGTTTTACTCTTATATTCATTTTTAATTATGGTAGATAAGTGGCAGAGTCCTGGGGTTTTGAGACACAACTTCTTTATCACTCTTGTACAAAAGAGAAATGCTGGCTCTGTCTTAAGGCCCTCCAAGGCTGCAGCAGTACCATCGATCACTTGTGCAACCTTGGGTATCCAACTTGATGCAAGTCAATACATGTGTCTGCTAGGCTGGTATCTGGTATCAAAAGAGGGGTGAAGAGGGAAGAGACAAAAGGGGTCATCTTGCCTCGAGTTTAAAGCCCCCATCTTTACAACGCCATAGTCAGAGCGCAAAGGCATTCGTCTTTTGCTGAGGTAAGGGACAATTAAGTCAGATGTGCTGTAACTTTTTAATAAAATGCAAAATTGGTACAGGGTAATAATTTTTTTCTTCCAGTGCAAATTCAGTTTGTTGGTTGGTTTGTGTTTTTGAAAAGTCAGTTTTTTTTTCTTTTTAATTCTTGGGAGTAGGGTTGAATGTAGTCAGGTCAACCAGCACAAACTTATTGAACACTAAGTAAATGTAGGAGATAGAAACACATTAGATATGCTCCCTACTCTCCAAGAGCATGCAATGCCAGGTGGGAAAAGCAACGGCAAAATAATTGGGTGATGAGCACCAAGTACCCCGTGTAGACTGTATGCAAAAAGGCAGTAAAGTGAAGGGAGGGTGTAGGCAAGGTCCAGAATGGGGACGTAATTTTGAAAAACAGGGAAGAGGAAGGCAAGTCCAGGCACAAGGATGGTGACAGCAAAGGCACAGGGATGGGAAAGCACAGTATGTGACTCAGGCATAGGCAAATCTAGTTTGAGTTGAGAGCTTGCAAAGCAAGTAGCAAGATGATTTGGAAAGTTAGGTTAGGGCTAGCCTGGGAGGCCTTGTATCATAGTTTGGACTTCAGCCTAAAGGAAATATGGAAACACGTTTTCTGAATAGGGCTAAGCAACATGGAAGAAGTGGTAGTGCACAGACAGAGATAGGGCAGTGATAATCAGGACAGGGTGAGCAAGAAGAGCCTGGAAGCTGGCTCGGGAGGTGCTTCCTTTTGCAGTTCTGAAACGAAGAAACACCTGAACGTGGAGTGACGCGGGTGGAGAAATACTTCATTCGTCTAACGCTTCTACAGGTTACAAAGGGCTTCCGCTCACATGATCTCACTTACTCAGAACAATTTGTAAAGATAAAGAACACTTGTCACACCTCACAAGTAAGGAACTGTGGCTCAGAAACGATGCTCTCATCTCTGGACATGCTTTTCTTTGTTGGTTTCTGGAACACCACCTTCTTTAGCTTTTTTTTCCTTCTCCTCTTATTACTCCCTCCCAGGAGTAAAGGTGTTTTTTCCCTCTGTATTCTCCCTTAAATAGAGATGTTCTCTCCTTTTGTCCTGTTCGATCCCTCATTAGATGGTCTCATCCACTCTCATGGTTTTAATCATCACGTATTAACTGACGGCCAAATCTGCTGTGCGTAGCTCAGATCTTTGCAATGAACACCTGACCTACTTACACACACTGCCTGCCTGAACTCCACACATCAAATATGTCCAAAGCTTAATTTTTACCCTAACCTTGCCGTTTCTCCTGTATTCCCTATTTTGTTAAACGGTATCACCATGTAGTCCAATGGTGATCAAATAGTAGCCCCTGTAGCTTTGCTTTGGCTCAGTTCAAATAATTTTCTCCTTGTATAAAACAAAGAGTGGGGGAAAAAGAAGGCTTGAGGGCAACCACTGAGAGAGAGGAGCAAAATCTGCAGTCTCAGGCATGGAGCAATGAGCCAGCAGAGACTGCTGGGAGAAAGGAGGCTGGTGCTTAGCTGTGGGATAAGACTGGCAAAAGCCACTGGAGCTCAGAGGTATGTGGATCCTAAACCCTAGACAGATACGCCTCTTAGCTAACTTAATCACATCACAGCTTAGAAAAAATAAACTTAAGGAAATTCCAACTAAATCTAATCTCATAGACCTGATTTTATTAGCAGCATTATTTTTCAATATTTCAATTTTTGATTCCTATTTTAAATCTTATTATATAGTCTTCATCTCGAGTTGCATCAAATCTTTCTTTGAAAGCAAGAGAGGTTTAAAATATGAATGTGATTGATGCTCACAAGAATCATGTATGATAGACAAGCCAAGTATTATTAGTATAATTTTATAATTCACTCACTCACTCACTCATTGATTTATTCAAACATTTATTTGGCACAATTTATGTGCCAGGTATGGTACAAGGCGCTGGAATATAACAAAGAGTTAAGACGAAGTCCCTCAAGGAGCTCACAGTCTAGTGGCAAACTACTAAGTTAATTGAGGCACAGAGGTAAATGATTACCCAATGAGGTAGAAATGGATAGGTACTTGGAAACGTGGGGCCGGAGCTGGAGACAGGGCAGGGTACAACTCATTGTAAGTAAAACCACTTTGACTGAAGAGCAAGGTTGCAGACTTACAGAAACGTCTTACAAAATCTGCTTGCAAAGAGCTTTAAAATACTTTCCAATTTTTACCAGCACTGAATTTATGTCTCACAATGAACTAAGCCATCACCTAATAGCCTGTACTTGGTCCTAAAGCCTTAGAGCTGCCACCAGTCTAGTGGGATACAATAATCCTGTAGGTAGGTTGGTATCAAGAAGTATCAGACTCCAATTTTGGCCTTGAAAACCATATTAAGATCCTTTAATTAAATCCATGAATGTTGAATGTCTAGCACATTTTTGATACTTCTAAATGTAGAAGTTTGAAAAAAAAAACTCTCTTCTAACCCTCATCCAGAGGATTCTAATAAGTTATAAACACCACAGAAATTAGAGAATTTGTCAGTTACTTTCCATATATACATTGTTTTGGCTGTACAATGGTGAAAAGCTTCATTTAGACATTTCTCATAAGTAATCTAAACATTATAGATATATACAAAGACATCACATTCAGATTCATTTGTGTACACTTATCCAATTTACATTTAAATGCAAACGTGAACCAGTGTAAGGCAATTCCTTTTGTGATTTACGACAGATAATCTTTGAAGGAAAGGGAAGCGTCCATGAAGAACCATCCATTTGGGTTCTGACCATCTGTTTTACTGATACTCTTTGCGAAGAAGTTATTTCAGTAGGCAAGATGTCTGTTTCACTGACATAAAGCAGTGCATGATTATAAAAAGAGTTATTTTCAAATGCTTAAACCATAATTATCCAGAAATTCCAGCAGTGAACTGCTTAAAGGTATCACTGGCCTTAATGCTACTGATGAGGAAGAAGATACTACTGGCCTTAGTGCGGCTACTAACTGGGCACGAGAGAAGTCCATGGATGATTTATTGCTCTGAGAATTCAATCTGATGCATAATTCATCCATACTGGATGTTCCAAAAGAACTTAATACACGAATTCTCAAATGTTATAGGTATTCAGTTGCTCACTTCAAGCAATTCTTCACTTTGCTGAGGGGGATTTTCTTCTGCAAAAGAACATGCAACAGACAAATCCTAAGTGAGAGTTTGAAAGGCAGATGGGTAACAGAACACACGATTCAACTGCTAAAAAAAAAATCCATATTCTCATGGCTAATTAAAAGAAAAAAAATCACAAGAACAAATGAACTGAAATAGATACTTGAGAGCATCTAACAGAGAATGTAGACAGCCTTCCCTAAATAGAGACCACCACCAGCTGGTACCACGACGGTACCAACTATAATTCTAAGTTTTAACTGGTATCAAAACTAAATAAAATTTGACTATCTAGTTAAATTTTTAGAAATATTCTAAACTACAGTTAAAAATTACTTTGTAAAATTTAAAAAATATTTTTAATGTTTTTATAGATAGGAAGAGTAAAAATATTTTAAGGCCATACACATATTCATGAAACCACACATACTTTATAAATAATTAGCATCTTAAATTTTTCTAGTAACAACATTTGTATGTTTACCTTTATCAGGGTTTTCTGGAGGCTTGCTTTCAGAGGAAGAGGTCCCTATGTCTTCAGACACTTTGTTACTTGTATTTTCCTGTTCGACTTCACATAAATAAACATCAATAGGCCCTTTGGTGCTCCTTATATGTACTGTGATAGAGTCCTAGCAAAAGATATGCAAAACATAAAGATGATAGGAGACTTTTCATTAATCGTATTTTTTCACTTATCTATAGCACTGGAAAAGTTCTGAGAGAACTTTCTGACAATTTAAACTCAGGTATTTTCCTTTCTACTGTGTATTTGAGAAAAACACGTATTTGGCTTTAGTCACATTAATTCACTGGTCAATTCATATAGTTAAAATAGATACTTAATCATACAGTAATGTTTTCAGAGCCATAATGTGAAGACCTCAACACTAAAAAGCTTTTCTTTCTCTACTCAAGGAGCTGACTCCTTCAAGGAGTCCATAGTTGCAAATCCAAAGTCAGTGTTCTGATGACAATGAACTCTGGGACACACTATACTCTCAAATTATAAGAGTGTGCTTAGATTTCCAGACCACTGCAGAGGTACTGAGCTAACCAAAAGGAACTTTGTCCACTTTAAAGAACTCTAAGAGGAAGGTATCAAGTGCAAATATACCTCATGCCATTCAAAACACTGAGAAAAACAAGAGTTAAGATATTCACATAAAGGATTATTATTAACTAATTATGATTATTCATATCCTTTGCCTTCAGATTATTTGTATTTACTCAGGGTTAATTACAGTACTTTTCCCATAAGAAATCATCAGGAAATTGGCCACTTCTACTCTGAGAATTATGCTAAACTTTTAAGGAATGGTCCCTGCTCTAAATGATTCTTTTCTTTTTTGTGAGTCGGTTCAACTGTAGTAGCATAACACCTGGGCGTTCCCCTTCATGCAGTGATGCCTGGACTAGACACTGCAGACACCACTGCTCCCTTCCAGCTCCTCACCTCACTGGGGTCTTGGTCACAGAGTGAGGTCAGAGACACAGCCACCAGAGGGTCTCAGAACCCCACCCACCAGCCTTTCTAAAGGTTCCTGGTACCAGACAAGTAGGCTAGAGAACATGTGTGCTCAGCTTCCAGGATGCCAGTTCAGGTCTGGTTCAAATGGCATATTTTGTACAATCAACAATTATTTTACAGAACAAAAGAAACCAATACATTGCTCAGAACTGGCAGGCAGCTGAGGACTTCACATTCCACTGAATCTGGGGTTGACAAATCCCAGTAAATGGTGAGACAGTAAATATTTTTGCCTTTGTGGGCCGTACAGTCTCTGTCACAACTATTCAGCTTTGCCTCTGTGGCACGAAAGAGTCATAGACAATATCTAAACAAATGGGCGTGTGGCTCTGTTCCAATAAAATGTTCACAAAAACAAGTCGGCCAGATTTGACCTGAGGGCTCTAGTTTGCCAAGCCCTGCCCTAGATCCACAGACAGCTCCCAGTTAGCTCCCTCCCCGGGGCGTCTGTAGTCAGACTACTGAACAGTGTGCTCTCGCCTACTGCTTTCACTTACTTCTACTGCAGAGAAGGGCTGGCCAAAAGAAGCCATGTGCACAGACTTTTAAATAGGACTCTAATAAGACAAGCTTTGGGCAGGATCAAAGGTGCACCAAGACTGGCCCTTACAGTCTGAGGAAGCTCACAGCAGGGGCAAAAATAAAAGCTCATCAATCATATAAAATGAACTATCAGCCCCCAAATAAGGGTATGTTGAAAGATCGGTGGTTACTTATTTTAAAAACGCAGTTTAAACATCTGTGAAATGATTCATATTAAACATAAATGTTACTTAGGAGACTTGGAATATATATAAATCCAAATAAAAAACCAGGAAACATCACCAAGAAGTCACAATTAGGATGGGACTCAGATAAAAGAAAGCTGATATCTAATCAATCGATTTATAATAAACTGTCAAGTAACAATATGGGGTTTCACTTGGACAATGGTCTGCTTAGAATAAAAGAAAGGTGGACAAAGAGGGATCATCCATTATGAGGCAGGCATATCCCTACAGCAATGAAGGGGATATCACTACAAGCTCCGGTGGGTCTATCAGGCTGCCAGAAGTTGAAGACTTCTCCCAAGGATGGCCACATCCCTTCGTTCTGATTCCATCCTTACCAAGCAACCTTCTGATGACAATTATCTTTCAATAGAAACTTTCCTGCAAGGGAAAGAATGTGCTAAGCAGCTGGCAGCTGATAAGAACATTTCCATTTACACAGCAATTTTATTTTTCATTTTAAATGTATAACTTAGTGTTCTAGGTTATTCATTAGTCTTTTATGAGTTTGGTTAGTAGGTTAATGATCTAGAGCCTTGGCTGACATCAGATCTTACTTTTGGAACCTCAAGTCTAAGGCCAATTCTTAGTGATTCCTCTAAGAGGCATTTTAACACAATGGTTAAGAACACAAACTATGAAGCTAAACTGAGTTTGAGTTCTGGTTCTACCACCTACTGTGTGACCTTGGCAAAGTTACTTAATCTTTCTGTGTGTCAGTTTCATCTTTAATAATAATAAATGACTACTTCATTTGTCGTGTTAATCAAACAAGTTAGAATGTGTAAGGTGCCTTGAACCAGTACCAGGTATATAGCTAATATGTATACATAATGGTTAAGTTACTATGACTGCTTAAAGCATAGCCTACGCAACTGGCTGGCCCCCTTCTGTAAATGTATTTTTTAAATGCTTTGCTACCTACTTCTCTGGGAGCTGGAACATCCAATCTGGTTTCTGCTGGAGCTTTAACTGCAATAACGATCTGTTCATGGAAGGCTTGAATGCTATGAATATCTTGATACGTCACGTATGCTAGTGTAAAAATCAGTCAAGGATCTGTAAGCAGAGTGCTACTTATCGGGGGAGATAATTTCTCTCTTACAAAACATGAATGTAAGTATGATGTTAGAACATCTTTAGTTTTTGTTTTTAGATAAAAACCTTACAATTAAGGGAAGGAAAGCAGTCAGTAGAAAAATGATTTTATATATAATTCTTTTATTTCATAAACAATTCTTAAGATTTTATAAAGTGTTTTACAGTAATTGTAACTCAAAGAATTTCTTTAAACTGTATTATTGTGATTCTAATAATTTCTGGAGAAAAGTATCAGTAGAATCTTAGTCCTAACACAAACACAACTCATGATGGGATTCAAATCCCACCCTACTCCCTACTCATTCCCATATCTTGCTATGAGCACCTTTGGAAAAAAAACACTCAGTTTTGATGAGAATCCCCTAAAATGAAAGATGGGAAAAATCTGTAAAAAGCAGAAACATCTTAGAAAACAAGTTTCTCGGACTATCCTGTACTCAACGGGCTTCCCACCACCCAAATCATTTCCCAGCTCACGGCCTGGATGCTTTTCTTCTGGTCTTACTGTGTTGCCTCAAATTCTATTAATTAAGTGATTTACTGGATTTCTCTAGCATTCTTTTTTTTTTACTGCAAAGACCTTTTGGGAAGCTATAGTAATGTTAGCCATTTATTTTCCTTCTAATAACTGTCTTGTGGGAACAGGAATTTTGACTGACGTAGAGTGGTTCAGTAAAGCTGAAAAATGGAATGGCTCAGCATCAGTGATACCCTCACAGAGGATGCTGCAAGGGGAGCAGAGCAGCATAGCTAGAAGGTCAAGTACCAAAGACCAGTCTTCCCCGTCTTGTCCCACAGAGACACTGAGCTTAAGAGCAGTATTGACACCCAGCTACATTAGGCTTCTGTGGACCAGAATGGCAGTTAAGTACTATTGTGACGGCAATTCATTCTGTTTCAGCAATAAACTTTAGTTCACAAATTAGGAAAACACATGAATTTCACATAAGCCAACAAACATTTTACAGTCTTTACACTAATCAGACTATAAAAACAGAAAAAGAAAGCTCTACTACTTCAATTTTAAATGGAAATGTTAACTGTTATGTCACTGTACTGCTCAGGTCATCAATGTAGAATTTAACCCAAAGAAACTTCATAGAAAGAAGCTAAAGGCAATGATGAACTATTTGTGTATGTTTGAGGCTATACTGCTAAACTTTTACTTTAACTTCTGAAGCTCTAGTTTTGTATCTTAAATATATAAATTAAATCCCCAAGCTGACACTACTATTTAAAGTAAACTGTTCTGGAAGCATCAATAAAACAAAGAAACAGAGTTAAAGGATATCTTTCATTTTCTTTGTCGTCTGTTAATTCAAACAACTGCTGAGCACAATCCTTGATTAATTCATCCAAAGCATCTTCCATTGCTGATAAGTCAGAAAGTTCCTCCTGCAGCTTCTTTTGCTGTGGTATTGCTCCAAAATCACTAAGATCAGATCCTCTTTAAAAGAAAAATGTTTTTTAAAAAATCACCATAAATAACATCTAAGACATTACAAAAAAATAATTGCAAGCTAAGGTTACTGCAACTTCTCCAAATGTTTATATTAGGTGTTGTCCACAATGACAGAAACCAGGTTCTTTAACTTAACTCCTGCCCTCTTCTTACTCCAGACAGCCGTTATTCTTCCTGAACATAAATTGATTTTTTGTCCCCATTTATAGTTCCGAACCTTAGCAGAGATTTCTGTACTTGCAAAACTAGACTATAACCCTACTGAAACTGATAACGGTAGAGAAAACTTCATGAAGTAGAAAGGACATTGAACTAAGTGTCAGTAATAGCCGTCCAAGCCCCAGCTCTACCACTTACAGCGTGACTTCTGACAAGTTCTCTTTCAGTGCCTTAGTTTCTACATATGAAAAACAAGCCAGTGTTGGCTAAACGAGTTCCTCTGCCAAAAGTCCATGAGTCTGTATTTTTCCCTACTGTGCATATTCCATCTGGTTCTATTCGAATATAATGACTATTCATTAATCTTAAAAGATGTATTCTCTTTAGTTACTTCTTTCTATTCTAACATAAAATGACCTGAGCGACAACTGATATTCATTTTCTTCTTCAATATTTATGGAAAATGAGGGGAAATGCTGTTACCACTTTATCTTTTGCTTGCTAGCTTTCAAATCCGATTTCAACTAGAGATTCAGAATACAATCTGACAGGAACTCCAAACGTGTTTTTTAATGTCATTTAGTTGTTGTGTGCCGTCAATTCCAACTCAGAGCGACCTCACAAGACAGAGTAAAACTGCCCCAAATCATTTCCTAGGCTGTAAATCTTTATGAAAACAGATGGCCAGGTCTTTTCCCCTGCAGAGTGGCTGGTGAATTTGAAACACCAACCTTGCAGTTAGCAGATGAGCACTTAAACCACTGTACCACAGGGCTCCTTTGCCATTTAATAAACATGTTCTAATTAGAATTTAATCTGTATTTCTGTACCACTGAAAAAAGAATTTTAAAATAACTTCCTTCATGAAAGTCTTTTCCCCTTTCCTCTAGTAACTATGTCAATTATTTAGAATCATTTTATGATCTTCGTTGATTTTTCGTTTGTCTAAAAGGTCTCTATTTGACTATTGTAAGCATAACAAGCTTTCTTGTTGTGTGTTATGTATGTTTATGTGTATGTGCCTATATTTTTAAAAAATCTCTTAAGGTCTTTTCTCCTAATTCTTCCTAATCATGTCTTAAGTTTCTAGAAATTGCCTTTAGTCATTAATTTAAGTCTACTGATTTTTCTGCTCGCCAAAGCATAAAATTCCCCATATTCCTTAAAGTGTACTTTATATTCAGGGCAATGTGTCTCCAAGTGTGATCAACAGCTCACCTGCAGTATAATCAGCTGGGGGAGATGTTAAGAATGTAGATTTCTTCCTTCTCCCAGAACTACTGAATTAGAACTGGAGTGGGAGGTCTCTAGGTGCTCATTACACTAACATGTAAGAACCAGTATTTTAGAATCTTAACTGACTTACTCCTGATATCAATAATCAACTGCAAGAGAATTAATCTTTTAAAATCTCCTATATAACCAGATGTCCCCTTCTTATGATTTTCTGAAAGACAATTTTGCAGAATCCTTTTCTCACAGAAGTCATGTTACTCTGCTTTATAACTTGTCGTTACCTAGCTTGTTTAAAAAAGAGAAAGTCAATGAAAAGCTTGAAACCAACTCACATCCACCGAATATGGTTCTTCGATTTTTTTTCAACCAGGTCAATTCCATCTAACACGTTGGTGATGTCATATACTCTCCGTTTTCTTACTCCCAGCTTTGTCGCAACCTTGTTTAAATCAAGAATACCCCCAGGAGCAGATCTGACCAGATCCATAAATTTTCGAGTTAAGTAAACCAGGGACACATCAAAACGAGGCCGCTTCACTTTTAGAGCTTCTGCAAAACAAAATAAACACATTCATCAAATTTTAAATAGCATTTCTTTTTCAACTTGAAGAATCATTTATTTCCTCTCGATCAGTGAGCATAAACCCATAAAGAAATTCTTAAACACGGGCCAAATCATAGCTACAATCTCCTATAAAACCGATTTCTCAAACAGGATAAAAAAAATTAGCCTATCCCAGATCTAAACAAAGTCTTTTGATTTAAATAAAGTATTTGAAATAGGCAACCAGTTCCATTTCTCATTAAGTTAAATTTCTCCTTGGTCTTCCAGTTGAGGAATTTTTTTAGAAAGCAAAGGCAGAGACTTGGCTTTTAACAACAAGAAGAAACTGTTTCTATAGATATCACAGTATAACTGTCTGATGAAGTTTCTGAAAATGCCCTAACTAGTCTTCTATGAGAACAATTATGATACGAATCTTGAGGAAAAGTGGTATATCTATTTTTTAAATATTGATTACCCTATATTAACAGATTAAAAAAAAGAAGGAAAAAAATTCCTTTAATGTCCCATCTATGAAGATTTTATCTTTATATGTATTTATAAATACACACATACAAATCTGTGTGTAAATGTGTATAGGGTTTTTAAAACAAAAACAGATCATGCCATTTTATAACATAATCTTTTCATTCAATATTGTGAACATATTGACATGACAACAAATGTATTTCAACATTATTTTTAAATGGCCACATAATATCCAACAGAATGGAACACTTGCTAAACTAATCCCAATGTTGGAAATTCAGACTGTCTTCAACTTTTTACCATTTTGCACAATACTGTAACAAGCCTCCATGTAGCTAAATTTTTGTATGCATTCTTAATTATTTTCTTTAGATAAACGCCAAGATGTACAACTGCTGAGTCAAGGGTATTTTAAAGGAATTTTGATATACACTGCTTAAAATGCTACTCATGTTGCGGGCTCTATTCACCTTGCGCAGTGTATGAAGGTCTCTTCATTTCCTTGCCAAAAGTGAATGTTATAATTTTTTTTAAATCTTTTCTAATTTGATGTTACAAAAAAGTTCTTAGTGTTTGGTTTGCAGAGGAAATACTTTTGAAACTAAGTTGTCATTCAGTGCAGGGACATGCTTTTTCTAGAAAAAAGTCAGTGTGCTTCAAAAGAAAAATTCTTCCTATCTTTAATCAGAAATGCCCTTATCCAGAACCTCTGCAGTGTGATATTCAATTTAAAGACCACTGGCAGTTAGTCCAAGAACAAAAGTACATTTTTTATAATACAAATGCCTTCTCTGTGGAGACCACTCCATATTTAAGATTAAACAAGACTAAGGAAACTTAAAAAACGTTTTAAATTGGAAGTTGAAGAAAATCACAATTCTCCAACAAACCTTGGAAGATTACAAAATGAAAAATTCTAACTTAAAAAGTATATATTTAATTATACTAAATTACTAACAAGACAAGGCCTTATAAGCTCAAGGTAAGTACATTCCTACCATGTCAGTCATTTTATAACAAACAAATATTAACTGAACACCTATAACCTAACAACTGCTGAGAGGGTACAAAGACGATTACAAAGGTCTTCAGACTAAAGGAACTCCACAGTCCAATAAGGAACAACGGAATAAGTGCTAAGAGAGGCACTCAAAGTTACCTGAGAACATGAAATAAAACCTTAACCGGAATAAGAAATCAGGAAGGCCTCCTAATGGGAGGATGCTGGCAACAGAACACAGAAAGATGAATAGGAAAGTGTTCTTTCTCCAGCTCTGAGGGAGGGCAAGGGGCTAAAGTGAGACAGAGGAAACAACACGTCAGAACACAAAGTAGCATCTGAGAACGAGGTGTATTCAGGGAATCCCCACGCAGCACAGCTTTAGCAATGGATGAGGACAGACGACTGCAGGAAGATGGGGCTGCAAAGGTAAGCAAGAAACAACCTTGAAGGGCCTTGTCCTTCTACTGACCCATTCTCTGCTGCCTTCTTCCTTTTGAAGTATGAGGTGGCTTATAAATTTTATATAAGTAAGTAAAATCAAATATATGAGGAGTCGTGGTTTTCTCTACAGGTGACACAGGACATCACTGAAGAATTTCGGGCTGAGTGATACCATAATCCCATCTCTGTTAGAAAAATCACATTGGCAACAGAAATGGAAGGGGGCGGGAAGAGCCTGAAGGCTGATCACCTACTTAGGAGGTTACCCGACTACTTCAGTCTGGGAGAGAGCAGGAACCTGAACCAGAAGAAGTGGTCTAACACAGTGGTTCAGAGACTGTGGGCTCAGGTGTCAGAGGCCTAGGGTTGAATTCTAACTCTCAGCAAGTTACAAAACCTCTCTGCCCTCAGTTTACTTGTCTTAAAAATACCAGGATTGTTGCTGGGTGCCGTCAAGTCGATTTTCAACTCACAGCAATCCCATGTGACAGAGCAGAACTACCCCATAGGGTTTTCTAGGCTGTAATCTTTACAGGAGCAGATCGCCAGGTCTTTCTCCTGTGGAGTCTCTGGGTGGGTCTGAACTGCCAAGCACTTAACTGTTGCACCACCAGGGCTCCTTATAAAATATAAATATTAACCCATACCAATATTTTAAAGGGTTGTTGTGATAATGCATGCAGAGTACGTACTACAGCGCCAGGCACTGCAGGAACTCAATAAAAGTTAGATATCTTAAGTCAGTGGGCTAGGAGAGATGAAGCAAACACTTCAAAGGTAGAGCTGACCAAACCTGCTGACCAACTGTGGGCAAAGACTATGGAAGGGATTGAGGAAAAATTAATGGTTAGCATTGGAATCCGTAGTTTGGGTATCTGTATAGATGGTATTAGTGTCCACGGAGATTAGGATCACATGAGGATGATACGGGGTGGAGTAATTTACTGTAAAAATAGGAAACTACAGCAACAGATACTCTTACCTCCTTTAACTGACATCCTGAACACTGCCCCACGGCAGGGGCCAAGAAAACCCGGGGGCAGGGCAAAAGATTGTTCTCATGCTTCCTGCCAAACTGCTTTCACTTCTGCTGATAATACATAATTTCTCTCACAGGAGTTTTGGGAAAATATCCTTAAACCACAGACTGTTTTATTTTAAAATGACATATTTCAAAAGCAACGGGGCATAAACTAGCATTTGTGCACATTATTCAGATCAGAACCTCAGGAGTTTTTGCTCAAATGTCAAGCTTTACATTTCAATGCAAGAATAATAAATTTTATTTAAATTTCTCACCAACTCATGTACATTTAGAATAAATCGTTTCAATTATATGAAGTTCAAACTACAAAAGTTAAAATCTATTCAGAAGTAAACTTACTTCTCATGGACACATATTGTACGTTATCTTCTAAATTAATCCTTATTTTTGACGGCTGAAAAAAACAGACATAAAAATTTAACTTAGCAATTTAAAAACAACAATTAAATGAATACCATTCTAGTCGAGAGGATAGGATAAAGAGTTTTGTTTTGCTTTTCCACCCTGAGGTAATAATTCAGGTGTGAGAGAAGTAATCCTTCTTCCAAGTCATGTCTACTCTAACTGTAATCACATCTGACAATGTTCATAGATTTAAATTTCTAAAATTGCTGAAGAATAGCTAATCAAAACATCTTGAAATAAAGCACAGGCTTCCATAAATACGGAAGTAGCAGTTAAAGAGAGAGAGAGTAAAGGGGAAATGTGAAAATGAGTACTTATTCCTGGATAGTTATTTATTGACCGCATCAGGCACTGGGGATAAAAAGGAATACACAGATGATCAAAACACTGTCCCTGACCCTGGAAAGCGCAATCGGGGTGAAAGGTATGTCTAAAATAACAAATGCTCATTTCTTGCTATTTCAGTATAAACAGTTCCAAATCTTTTTCTCATAACCTTTTATAAGCAGCCATGGATTACCGTTCTAATTAATGTAAAGCACAACCGCATTTCCAACAATGGAAAATAATGCATGCTGTGGATAACTAGAAACTTTGGTATCAGACTAATAAAAAATTTTTCTAAATTCTTAAAACCATCAGGACATTTGTAGTAGAGCTCCACCATCAAGGCTCACCATTTTCCTGGCTATCTAGAGGCTACGGAAGTTTGCATAAACTGCAAGTAACACTTGTAATACATTTAGAAATCATCTTCCACAAAATAACAAATAACATAAAACCTTAAGACAGAACAGCGTAAACAGAAACTCACGTTAACATCATGCTTAGAATAAACAGTGTAGCGGGAAAGCCTGATGTCACATGCCTCCAGACAGGCTATGATCAGGTTCAATTCTTGTCTACGTGAAAAATTTCAGCCTGTACGGCAAAACTGGGATAAGCGACTTCCACAGGTGCTATCAGAGAAGAGTAAGAATCAACAAGAGTACTAGAGGTGCACCCAGAGAGGACAATCACGGAAGGATTCACAGGGAAGGTGACCCTTAGTTGAGCCTTGAAGGAGAACCTAGATTTGGCCTGAATAATAAGCTGTGGGAAGGTTAGGAGAAAAGTAGGTTTTCCTGGCACAGGAAATGAATGAACACAGGTATGGCGATATAAGTTGCTGCGCACGTTTTGGAATACACCTTTGTATCCTGTGTGAAGTGACTTCATTTTGAAGCTGGAGGGGTAAGCTAACACCACGCTCAACATGGAGAACCATAAAAGTCAAGTTAGGGAGTTTGGATTTTATTTACTTCAAAACCAGTGAGAATCACCAAAGATTTCGGAACAAGAATATGACAGACTCAAGTTCACGGTTTAGAAATATGAGTATGGTAGCTACATGGCAAAAGGACTGGGGCATGCGGAAGCCTGAAGCAAGGTGAGCGCTAAAAAGCTCTTTGTCTATCAGTGTTACAAATTCTTGGTACAATGATCTCCTTATCATTTATGACAAGATGATAGCATCTATTAGCAAGTTAACTTGATCTGGAATAATTCCACTGCAATAGAACTCTGCTGTAAAATTAGTTTTTAGAATTTAAAGATAAATGTAGACCTGCTAGGGTATGCAAAACTGGAATTGGGAATGCCTGTCTTGTGGGCAGAGACTATGTCTGGCTAACTCTGGAAAGCAGTGCTTACAACACTGACTTGCAACATGATACTCAACAGCGAAACACTTGAAGCGTTCCTGTTAAAGTCAAACATAAAGCATGACAGCTGTCAATGCTATTTTTACATTTAACTCTTCTGTGGGACAGGGTCTAACTAAAATCTTCCCATGTAACAAACCCATTGTAGCAAGATTCTTGAATGAAAAAAAAAATCTATCCTCATAACATCTGAAACACCTTGTACCATATCCTAAGTAGTTAAATATACTAAGGTCTGTTTCTAGGTTTTCTGTTCAGTCCATTGATCTGTTGGTTATGTGTATGGAGCATACCACTTTAATTACTGCAGCATTAGAATAAATTTTATGACAGTTGTTAGTGCAGCCCTGAAATTGCAGGCAGAGGAGGTTAACACAGCACAGTTCACAGGTGCCTTCCTGCAGAGAAGCTTCTGTTCTTACAGGGGCAGGGCCAAACCGTGCATGTACAGTGCTCCGTAGGGTTTTCAATGGCTGATTTTTCCAAAGTATTTAGCCAGGCCTTTCTTCTGTGATGCCTCTGGAAAGACTCGAACCTCCAGTGTTTCAGTTAGCAGCTAGGAGTGTTAACCATATGCACCACTCAGGGACTCCACAGAGTACTTAATGGTTTCCAAATCCACCACCTCACCATCTGCTACCCAAAGATTCGACAAGGGCACCTTTGCTGCTCTACACACTGCCCCCCTGACGCTTGTCTCCTTATCTAAACTGTTGCCATTCACAGGTTGGCACAGGGCTAATACCTCAATCGCATACTGGCTATACTGACATCTGTGGGGAAACTAGACCCCAAGAACATTCATTCACTCTTTTTTCTTTGAATATGAAGCAATATCACTTTATCTTGGAGGAATCACAACAGTATCATCATCACCTCTCTGGGCCAGACATCCCAATACATATAAATCCTATAGGTCCATGATTCTGGAGTCTTCCAAAGCTCCCATAGCACTGACAGATTCATCTCCTTTATATTCAAAATAGTTCTTGGCTTAAGACTGGGTTCAGGACTACCAACTACATGACCCCTTAGTTGCCGGAAGACCCTGATCTTTACCTGTAACACAGCATACTGATAGCACTTTCTTGCTTACCTTCCAAGCTAATGTGAAGATTAAATGAGAAATTTTGTAAATTATAAAATTCGATGGAAACGTAAGAGACTATCAGTTTTCCTTTTTGAAGCAGAACAGTGCCCAGCACATCTGCGACACTTGGTAAATACATGTTAAAATAATATATGAAGACTAAAATAGTGCCTTGTCACAGGTGGCTTCAACCGATAAGCACCTTAGAAACTAGAAAACAATGAGTAAAAGGACAGAGAGTGAAGACTTCCTCTTGCGTACACAAGAAGAATCACTGAAAAGAATACGAACCCTCATTTTCTGTTTCCTAATACAGTATTATCTGGATGGGTTCAACCTGATAATCCTGGCAAGCCTTTCCAGCTACTCGAACTTTGATGAACTATGCATTAAACAGGTAGGCTAGGAGCTTTTCTGGGAGTAGATAGGCCTGTGTATCTTATCCTTTTGCAGTGGACTTAAAATTAGAATAAATGTTTCCTCAGCCAAAAGTTAGCTATTTTAAAAAAAAAAAGGAAATGAAATGCCATCCTGCACTTGGCTCCATGTCATTCAGGCCCTTCAGATCAGAGCAGTCCACTTTGCCCGTGGTGGGAGACTGACTAGGCTCGGTACTCTTGCATGGATGAGAGAATGGAGACACGAAATAGCATGGAGAGAGGCTCCTACTTAGAGGCTGAGGAACAACTGAGGTCCCTCCCAATGGGAGACTGCCCATGTGAGCTCTTTCCAGGGACACCCCTTTTCTTTTTAACTTATTTTGAAATAATTTCAGCCTTTAAAAAAGCTGCAAAGAACTCCCACATACCCTTTACCCAAATCCCCCAATTTTTATTAACATTTTACTGTTTACTTTATCATTTTTTTCCTCTATACATACTTTTTCTCTTCCTGAACCATTTGGGAATAAGTTGCAGTCCCTTAACTACTTCAGTGTGTATTTCAAGGTCATTCTCTTATACAACCACGGTACAACAATCAGTCTGTTCAAGCCTAAATAATCTTGAACGGACTGGCAGTAGAAATCTAGACTTCGAGGGCACTGCCAGTGAGGGTTCACAAGGAAGGGAGGGACGTTTTATTAGAAACTGGAAGAAGGGAGATCCTTGTTATATAATGGCAGAGTGCTTAGCAAGACCTTAGAAAGATCAAGGATGGTGCCTGTGAAACATCAAAGATTGTGTGTGCCTCAGAGTACTATTCAGTCACATAAAAGGCCCTGTCATGGATTGAACTGTGTCAACTTGGTTAGGCCATGATTCCCAGTATTGTGTGGCTGTCCTCCACTTTGTGATTGTAATTTTATGTTGAATGGATTAGGGTTGGATTCTAACACCCTTACCCAGGTTACACCCCTGATCCAATGTAAAGGGAGTTTCCCTGCGATGTGGCCTGCACCACATTTTCTCTCTCAAGAGCTAAAAAGGAAAGGGAAGCAAGCAGAGAGGGGGGATCTCATACCACCAAGAAAGCAGCACCAGACACACAGTGCATCCTTTGGACCTCAGGTTCCTGTGCAAAGATGCTCTCAGACCAAGGGACGACTGATGACAAGGACCTTCCTCCAGAGCTGACAGAGAAAGCCTTCCCCTGGAGCTGATGCCCTGAATTTGGACTTGTAGCCTACTAGACTGTGAGAAAATAAAATTCGATTTGATAAAGCCATCCACTTGTGGTATTTTCTGTTACAGCAGCACTAGATGACTAAAATAGGCCCTTTAAAGAAATTAAGAATGAGCCTTTCGGATTATCTCAAAATACGGCCTGTACGAAACTTAAGGGCATTGTCCTTAGCCATCCCAGCAGGAGCCCAAGGGAGAGAAGGGTTTATCTTGAAGAGACGTGTAGTGACACTTTTGTCCAAAGAGTGAACAACAATAATAGAAGACCCACAGAGTTTTTGAGAGAACTGCATCAGCAAAAACACTGCCAGTTTAAACTGGAAGGGATAGAGATAATTCATATTGAAAAAGCGGCTGCTGAACACCTAAAATTCTACTGGCAGAAAGAAGGCTGAAAAAACTACTCGGCTGCAAACAGGTGCTACTTTTCATGAAAAAGAAAGGAAGACTTGTAATTTGGAACCAAGAGCCCAGAGGGTAGAGTCAAGAGCCATGGAGAATTATGTCCAGACCTTGAGACTTAAGAAACTTCCAATATTTGTCCTGCTAGATTTCAGAACTATTATGGACGACT